CTGGTCGTAAGCAGTACGTTAAATTTAAAAATTATAATTCTTATATTTACAATGTCACCTCTGGAGTTCCTCAGGGATCTCATTTGGCTCCTCTTCTTTTTAATATTTATATTAATGATATTAGTAATATCAACTCAAATATACTGCTATTTGCCGATGACGCTAAACTATTCCGTATTATAAAAACTCCACTAGACTCTAATCTGCTTCAATATGATCTTGATGACATAAGTAATTGGTGTGATAATAATAAATTATATTTGAATGTTTCAAAATGTAAAATTATTACTTTCACTAGAAAGCGTGTGTCTATATTAAACAAATACTTTTTAAATGGTATTGAACTAGAACGAGTTAATCTAATTAAAGATTTAGGTGTATATCTTGACTCCTCTCTTTCATTCAATGATCACCATGTCCATATTCAGAATAGAGCGTCATCAATGCTTGGCTTTATAATGCGTAGTTGTAATAATTTTGATAATCCTTTAGCACTAAAATCACTTTATTGCGCTTTAGTTAGATCAATTTTTGATTATAATTCTATAATTTGGTCTCCATACACACTAGGTCCAATTTATTCTATTGAGGCGATTCAAAATCGTTTCTTGAGACTTATATCCATCAAGTGTAATATTAAACGTTTACCTCACACTTCATATGAACCATTGTTACTATATCTAAACATTGATACTCTTCAAAACAGAAGGATTAAAAACGATATTAGCTTTATATTTAAACTATTAAATGGATATATTTACTGTCCTGATCTTTTGTCAAATATATCATTTCTAGTTCCTGGTCATTCAACTAGACAGAGAGACACCTTTTATGTGCCATTCCAGCGCACTTTATATGGTAAGAACGCCCCTTTAATTAGATGTATGCAACATGTAAATAATTTTAATGTCGATCTTTTTATTTGTTATTCTGTGAGTTCATTTAATTTATATCTTAGAAATTTATTCACTTAAAATATTTTTAAACCTCCACACCAACCATTATATATATATTTTATACTATTGTCTATTTATATTCAACAACTACCATTATGTACATACTATTTTATGTTCCACATACTATTGTAATTGGGCTCGCCCGTTAAATTGATAAATAAATAAATAAATAAATAAATAAATAAATAAATAAATTCTATTAATAACGATCCTATTTATAGTAGTTATGTGATTGTGTATTGTATACTCAAAAGGCAGTGGTTATACAATATATATATATATGTGTGTGTGTGTGTGTGTGTGGTATGTGTGTGAGTGTAACAAAGAAACACAACCAGGAAATTCTATTTGCTTTACACTTTGATGTGGTTCTTCTGTCTGATAATTTGAGATATTCTGTATTTACAGTTTAAAAACCAATTACTTGTGTTTATTTTCGGATGTGCAAAATGGCACACGTAAAATAAACTATGACAAATATTTTGTTAACATATTCTTTGTAGTGGTTTTCGTTTAAGCTATGGCGAGCTACATGGTTTATACTCGAACTCGAGTTAATTGTCGAGTTAATTCTGGCAAAAACCAATTCCACGGTAAAACAGCTACCCAACCTAACCTAACCCGGCTGACACAAACGTTTATATATAAAACAATAGGTTTATAATACCGTAACATACAATTATACAAATTTCCTTTTTTTCAAAATCATTATAATATATTTAAAGGTATTTTTAAAAATAGTTCAAATAAATAATATTGTTGGATTCACTGTTATAGATCCAAGTGATTTATTTCATGAGAAATTATATTTAGACCAGTCCACATAACACATCCTCCAAATTTTTTGTTTTTATTTTAAAAACCGGAATGATACTATGTAAATTACTGTTTCTTGGTATGACGTAAAGCTTAAACATATACAGTTTTCGAAATACATTACAATATTGTTTCACCCGGTAGACTCTCCTCTTATTATGCAAAAAGTTGGAAAAATGTAACAAGAAAAAATTGTTACGCAAACTAAAAGAGTGCTGAAAGAGAGCGTAACGGTGTAAACTAAGAACAACTGTGATGAGGTTAATGCTCTCAAAAAAAGTTTCACTCCCACCTTAATGAAAAATTCCGGTTAATCTTCTTCCGTGTAAGGAGCACTCAGGCTTATGTACATCGACTTTGGTTACAAGCAGAATTGGAAACAGCTATAGTGAATATAAATATATTTTAGACATTTAATAAAAACGCTAAAATATGCGTCTGAAATGAAGTTTTAATCAAAAAATTGTGATTTATAAAAATATATAGAATATTTATTATTGCAACCATAATTATAAATATATATAACATCATATGGAATACCGTAAACCGCAAATAAACATTGAAAATAGGTGAATAGAGGTACCTTAAACTTTTTATTACATCCCCCCTGAAATTATATATTATATTTATTTATTTGTATTGTTATTTATTGATAGTAAGGCCAGCGAGGGTAGGGAGTGTATTACATCTAACATAGGTTGGATATAACATAATATAGAAATAAACTAAGAACCAAATATTATTTCAACTCATAACTATCATCAACGAAAAAATAAAATTCAGATAGATGTTCGTTACTGCAATGTAAAATTTTACTAATGGGACTATGGAAAACAAAATTACGATTATTTGGTGCAATATAACTGGAGGGATTTTTAGGCCAATAAGACTCTAGAGTTAACTGTCCCTTCTATAACTCATGTAAAAATAACCGATCAATGTAATCACGCCTTTTATCTAGCATGGATATTCTACACTATTTCTCGACTTGGGCTATAGATAATTCACACAAGTGTAATTTAAATTATAAAGTTTATAATTATTATTGATTATATTACTGAATACTCTTTAAGAATATCCACAAAAAATACTTAGCTTTTTTTTTATTTAAACTATCTAGTAGTGTAATAACATATTTTTGTATCGAACAAGATATATTTTATTTTGCGAACAATAAAACTTATAAAACAAAATAAAAAACTATGTAAAATTATTTTTTTTAATTTTATAAGCAATAATTGAGGTAGCTATAATGGTTTCAATTTCAAACAATATTAAATAAAACTAATGTTTGGTCATAATTTGAATGCATAAGGCATATGTTTTATATTAGTAATTGTAATAGTAATAGTCTTCATAGTATTATTATTAAAATATTTATAGAAGAAAGTACTGTAAACCCTAAAACTCAGCTATGTAATAAATTTGTTTTAATAAAACTGTAGAGAACTGTAATAAAAATTAATGATAGCTTCAAGTATACGAAAAGTCGTATGTTTACACTAATTAAAAACTATACTAAAACTGTGGGCAGAGAAAGCTGGAAACTGATGAATACGAATGTGTTAGTGGTGAGTATAATATTGAACAAGTTGTTTCCAAGCATTATACACTTGAATTTAAACATTAAATAATTTGGTTTATTATGTAATTCACTTATTATAAAAGTTACTAATTAGGTAACGCTTACTTTTGATTATTTTCAGAATAATATTATTTTTCAAAATGTCAAATTCAATATTAAACTTGTTATTTACTAATTGAAGATTCATGATAATAATGCAATGGTAAAATCACAAAAACTGTGGAAATAAAAATATAAAATTATGAAACAATATACATATATAACTGTATTATCGTCATAACAATCCTAACAAGTAGGTATTACTAAAAAAAAAAAAAAATTGGGATATTTCTCGGTATATTATAGCAAATGAATAATATAATATGGTACAAAAAAAACCCTCCCCCTCTGTTTACGATTTCATGGCACAAGAGTTTGATTAAAATATTGTCAGTCCCCCGAACGCGGTATTGATCGAAGTTATCGCTACTGTGCGCATTGTTGGAGCGTGTAATGACGTTTTTAATTACGATCGATAGTAAAAAAAAATACATATTATATAAACGCAAACGCGCAAAAGTGAAGTGCATGCTACCTATATTTTTGTACTCATGTCAAAAAAAAAAGGAAAGAGAAAAGCCTGTTTCTGATTCGTCTAACCGTAAAGGCAAAAATAATACCGAACCATACAACTACGGATAAAACGTAAAAGCTGGCAGGCGCTGATGTTTTGGTCACTTGGAGAGAACGTTTCCAGGCCGAGAACGGACTTACAGCCGAATGAGCTGGAAAAAGCTCTAAATTATTACAACACGAGTGGACGAGTCATAATTTAAATTGATTATGCAATACTTATATAAAAAAAGGGGATTTTATTTTTCGTTTGTGGACAAATTGACACAGGTCTCGAGCATAAGTCTATCGTACAACACCTGTCGCTGGGCACACGGTTCATCTTATATCTAATATCTATATTTTACAGCTGACGATTATCTTAATTTTATTTGTGGTATAGACCCGTATGTTTCCCTGGTTTTTTATTCCCGTTATTGAAATAAAATAATACAAAATAAAACGTCGTGTACTTTATTTAACGGAGTACGAATCAAATGTATGGTTCACGAAAAAAAAAAACGGTTACCAAATCCAAACTGATAATGGACGTCGCCACAGGTTACAAGTCGCTCGTTGTCGTTTTGGCATTAGTGTGTACACAGCTCGCGTGTGAATATAATATTAGGTTTTCCGTTTGTATTTTTGTCCGTCTAGGTTAGGATAGGTTATGACTATGTAATCTATGTAATCTCTGATATTGCGAGCTCCGGGCACCACAGTCGGTGACGTAGCTTTTCTAGAGGGGAGGATTGTTCAGTGTTTCAACACCCGTCCTCCGTCTATGCCATTTTTATTATATAATATAACGATATCAGGTCAATACCATTGATTAGGTATTGTATGCGTACACTATATTATTTTATGTATACCTACAGTAAAGTCTATTGCGCCCCATCCCCATCACCTATACTTTGATAAATCGAGAGTGCTACGCCACTATAGCTTACAGGTGACACGTATCTCGTCACGTTTTTTTTGCGTTGTACTTTAGCTGAGCCTAATATTATGTAACGAGAGATTATAAACTTGTTTTCCGTCTCGTCCGACAGGTACTTCACAATCGTCCGGAATCCTCGGGGCTCGGTGTTCCGGTGCAGCGTGGCCAAGACGCTGGTACTTATCTGGATGGTGTCGTTTGCGGCCATGGTGCCGCTGTTGTTATACCAGAACGTCGAGGAGGTGAACGTCGGACCCATCAGGTTGTACGAGGCGTGCGTCGAGAAATGGCCGAACCGCATGGCCCAACAGACGTTCACCGTCGGCCTGGCAGTCGCCCAGTTCGTGTTGCCGTTCACCACCATATCGCTGATCCACCTGAAGATATCGTCCTACCTCACAGTGCACCTCAAACACCCGGCCGTCCCATCCAAGGAGATCAACTGTAGACGAGGTGAGTGAGCCACGACCTTATCCCGAGGGGGTCTTCGAACTAGGGTCCACGGACTAGTTTTTTACCGGCCTACTGGCCACTATATTAACTATCCTGCAGCGAATAATGAACCAAAACTCAACTATTCCCGTCGCCTAGTGTATTTCTTAAGGTTTTTTTTTTATCTAGGTGTTTTTTTTAAATGCAACGTACATGCTATTATTAAATCAGTTCAACATAACTACAATCATTTTCCTACCGGGCACGGTAAAAATATACTATAATATAATATATACATATATATATATATATATATATATATTATACTTAAATCCCTCATTACACTTCTCTAAACAACCACGGTGGCGTGTCGTAACAATCGTCGACAACTTAGACTAATAATTATGTGTTCATTTAATTTCAAAAAAACCAAACATTTTAAATATTCATAGAATTATAAAATATGTTATAAAATACTATTTTTAGATACCTTTCCAGTAAAAAAGTTTGGAGACCTCTTGACCTAGCCTAACATCAGCGCAGTATATCATAAACCTCTTGTCAAAGCCACGTTAGACGACATTCAATCCAGTGCAAAGCGTAGCAAGGTCACAAACGTTATATCACAAGCACCTGAAAGGTATTTTCGAGTACTTTTTGTCCCATTCGAAACATAATCACTCAAAATTTTAGAGTAAAAACTTAGGTGGTTTAACTTTGGAATACACAGCTGCTAGTTGACGGACGGTGTATGCCGTATGATATTAATTTGTCTTCGGGTTTATTCAAAAAAAATTAGAATTTTGTAACAGTCCATGTAGACCAATCTCTGAATAATCGCCAGATCAGGTGAATTTGAATAACATATTTTATTTATTTTTTAACTTCTAAAAAAGCTTTCGACAAAAAAAGTGACAATCTACATATTATTATAGTCTATATCTCCTCGATAAAAAATATTTTGAAATAAAACTATGTCATAGTAAAACACGTTGCATGTCATAACAAAACCGTATAAAATACATTAAACGAAGATAACGTTCCCAAATATACATGAAACAACAACAATGATTACCGCTGTCGGTTGTTTTAATCATAATAATAGTAACAATAGTAAACATTACGTTTATCTCACAAAACTATAGTTATCATCATTATTTTTAATGGTTTCATACTTTCATTAACTATTTAAACTACCGTTAACTATTAGTTTATTTTAGAGAATATTTATAATCACCATGATTATCCAGAATATTATATAAGTTTTAGATTTTTAGCGAAGCAAATGTATTTATTAGATAAAGTTTAACATAAACAATCATGTGGTTTTTTTTTCGGTTTTTTTTCGATCATACCATTTGGAGCAGTAAATATTCTTCAATCTTCAACTTTAAGGCTGATTTCTGGTAGCAAATTGAATTTAGTCGGTACTTTTAGGGTCAAATAATTCTCTGAACTATTCAAAACAATCAGGAAAAACAAAAATATAATAACAGGAAACGGGATTATTTACGCAACAACAGTTTTTGACAAAATCGATATCGTTTTTTTTGTTGTAATTAAAAAATGAATAGACCAATGATGCAATTCAGAGTCTTTTTTGGCTATTCATAGACATAATAATATAGAAGACATTCTATATTATGGAATGTAATTTTTTTTAGTAGCGATTTTACTTGATTTTATTTATGAAGTAGTACCTAATTAAAAGAATAATAATGGATAGGATTTGAAAATGTTTTCCATTACGTAAGGGATACCGAGGCTTGTTGTCACATGGATCGGCTGTCACATCATATTCACTATATAGTATATTATGTACTGTATATTATACTATTATTATTTATTATCGTTTTCAAAATGTTTAAGCACAACAATAAATTATGAACATCTTATTAAGTAACTAAATCGGTGTGTCGGGAATAATGGCACGGCCACGGGTTTGATTATATAAGATTTGTCATGTGTGTGGGATAAATTCATAGGCCTAAATATACTGAAAAGTTTACTGAAAGACTTCTAAGTTTTCATTTACTTATTCAAAATATGACCATAGCTGATCCATTTCGTAGTTTTCAAAAATAAAACGTCGGGAACAGTTGTTTAATGCAAGCCACCTTCCGTAATAAAACTAACACAAAAATAATAGCAACCTCAGTGCGGAATACTACCGTGTTAGGTCAAAATTCAAAACATATAAAGCTCTTTTACTCGACCTAGATTTAATCATTAATTTTTAAGACCATACAACATGTACTGTGCACAGACCGAAACAAAATTTAGATTGTGTGACATTTATTCTAACATCTAACCAATGGACCCGATCAAAAGTTTTCAACTGAAACCTAACTGCGAAATGTCGATTTTTTACCGAACGTAATAATAATAATAATGAAAAAAATACGCAACAATACAAAAATATCTATGATATATATTATTATTGATGGGTTTTCGCGCTAATATCGGTATATTAAATATCGTGACTGGGAACTAAATATAAGTTATTGCATTTTTATCTAAACAATTTGTTATATTGGCGTGTGTCATATGAAATGACAATACCTACACAAAAAGAAACCGACTTTTTCCTCCTGCGTTGAAATTCATCGAAACTTCATGTTCTCTTGAATAATTTAAATAAAATATGAAATCATAAAATATATTCCAGCAAATAAAATACAGAAATACAACTATTATTAAAATCATTATATGCTGTACAATACTATTCTATTAGTTTTAATATATGAAATGTCAGTTAATTTTTATGTTCTGTTGAATATAATATATACTTCTGGAAGTTATTAACGGTCATAAGCTGTCTCTCTGGATGTATCATCTAAAAAATTCTACTATTCAAATACGTATTTATTTTATAATATCTTATTTTGGATTGAACAATATCTGCCACTTACTTGATTTCATTAAATATTAAACAGAAAATACAAATCATGTTGAATATTTTATTCTTCTGAAAAATAGATTGACCAATTTGTTAAATCATTCAAAATTGATATTGGTACATTGTTATTTTAAAAAAATAACAAGAATTGTCTTAGGGTCTGAGTGTAGCATGGTCGTATCGGTTTTAAGCGCGGTTTATGTTTCTTTTGCTTGTATAATTTCCAAGTAGAAATAGTGCTCAAATAGTTCCATGTTGGGTAACATTTTGATTTTAATAGGTTTCACTGGGTGAGAAAGCAAAAACAATCGTTAGATTCCGACAATAATATGCAGTTTAATGCTGCACGATTGGTTTTATTAACAAAATACATTTTAATTATTTTGTAGTAATTCAGAAATCAAGAAACCTGAATATTTATAACTTTCACAGATTTTTTTATTGTAAAATTTGTATTGGTAGGTACAGAATTTCGGCGTGATGAAAATTATTACACAATAGCTGTGAATAAATAATCCTACTGGGATACTGGTATACACAATGGCAGCACCTAAATAATGCAGGGGCGTCATTTGGGGGGGAGCAGGGTGTGCGACGGCACCACTAACATAATAGAGTAAATAATTGGCCCTCCATTAATGCTCCTATGCGCTGATATGATTACTATTAAAATTTAATAAAATATTCATGCATGTAATATATATTTATTTTTTATCAGCTTTATCATCAAATGTATCCCTATTTGATAACCGTGTGAAGCGCGTTTCATTATATAAGATAGTTCGCGCCAGCCTGCTGGTATCAGCTATAGTGGTGTAAGAATAGCATACATAATATATTAGAACCCGTAGATATCCACTAATTTAAATTTAAAAATAATTAATAATGTTTTATTTTGTATGAATATTGAATAGTGTATATAGTTTTTTAAATGCATTTATTAAAAAAAAATTCTTTATACCGCATTTGTTTTTTGTTTCTCCAAATAGTAGTAAAATGGCTTCTGTTGGCCGCTAGTTGCTACTTGTTTTAGTTGTTTATAACTTATAAGCTTTTAATACATTGAACTGCTAGCTATTTGAAAATTACAATATACATTAGTTGATATGACTAATTTTAATTAGGATTATAAAAGGAGATAATATTAACATACTTTAAACTACATGGTTATTGTTTAAATATTAAATGTTAAAATTGGCCTGCCTAAAATCTTGCACACCCGGAAAATAAACTGAAATGACGCCCCTGAAATAATGTTTAAACCAGTATAATATTTTATTTTATTTGTTCCATAACGAAAATAAAGTTTTTACATTTACTGCTTCTTCTTGCTGATACAAAAAATATTTAATGAGGGTATGCTTAATATGTTCATGTGTGTGTGTATGAGAGAGAAAGATAAAGAGCGAGATAGTGTCGGAGGAGGGTGAATAGACGTGTTTGTTGTTTTACATAATCCTCATCGTTTATAGGGGTCCACATTTGAGTGTAGGGATTAGATTGAATACTCGGGTGTCATTTGTGGCCCCCGACGGCATTGGGGTCAGAAAGTCAGAAAAATATTCACTTTTTTTTTATTATAAATATACCATTTTAGGAAAAAAGGGTTCTCGACCTAAGCTTTTATCATGCCATTTATATGCGTGTATGTGCGGTGGTTTATAAGCATTTGAACGTTATAAGCGTATCGGAAAGAAATGGAATGGATAATATTCATATTTCTCGGGGTGGTAGAAGGTGGAACGAGTACGACTTGAAAAAAAACGGCGTCCCGTTTGCTGTATTATATTATAAAATGACCTCTGGCTATGAAAAAAAACTGAACGTGTCGATGGTCAAATTGCAGGAGGGGGGATGTTATATTATGAAAACTGGATTACGTTTATAATGCGAACGGAAATGTAATCGAGACGGGTTGACGTGTACATCGGCGAATCACATCACAGACGATTTCTTGCGGCAGTTGTGCGTTTGAAATGTGTGGACGTGCACGCGAAATGAACTTAGGTGAACTCGTCGATAGAGGGTCTTTCGGTATTATAAGCCAGTGAGACGACGGCTAGACGATAAACATCCGTGGAGACTCGACGACAAACTACACCGGATTATGCATGTATATCCT